TGCTGGAAACGCAGGCGGTGCTGGGACGTTCCCTCCCGCGTCTGGGGGAATCCGGGCTTTCCCTGTGGTCTGAGTCAGTGCTTAGTCATTAAACACATCTGACGGTGTGTGACCCGAGGCAGCCTCTTTGGCTGTAATTTTGGAAAGGGTTTAGTTGAGCTGACAGGAGGGAGCAGATGGCGCCTCCCGTCACGCCTGTGTGCAGCGGTCACTCTGCCCGCGTGGGCTCTGTGTGCTCATCCCCTCACGGGATGGGTGGCCGCGAGGGCCGGCTGTCTGCTCGGGTGTCCAGGCCCAGAGCCCCCGTGAGTGGTTTCGGGGAAACGGCCGCAGGACACGGGTGTCTGGAGCTGCCGGGTTTCAGGGGAGCAGATTCTGACCCTCGGCCGACTGTTCTGTGCAGCCGGAGGGTCCTGTCCAGCCTGTGGCTGTGCCCCAAGGGGCCGGCGTCCCGGGGGGAGGGCTCAGCGCCGCAGCAGGTGCGCGCTGCCCAGTGCGGGGGACTTGCGTTTGTCTTGGGGCCGCGCCCGTCCTGAGGGGCTTTCTGCCGCAGACAGCACTTGGAGCGGGTGCAGCTGCGGGAGCTGTCCGGAGCGGAGCTCAGGCAGCGTCGGGAAGCCGGGCCGGCCCTGCCCACGTCCAGACTCCGCTTCATCCCCAAGCCCAGCGGGCTGCGGCCAATCGTGAACATGGACTACGTCATGGGCGCCAGAACGTTCCGCAGGGCGACGAGGGTGAGTGCTTCTGTTCCGTTCGTTTTTCGGAAGGCCGTGTGTTGGAGTGCCACCTTTGGTGTCGCTAGGACAAGGGGCCGGAGGAGGGCCACGGCGCGTCCTGGCCAGGGGTAGGCGCAGCAAGCTGGGCCAGGAGCCAGTGGTTCCCGGGTCTGGAAGAGCAGCCTGTGGGGAGGCCCCAGCGGGGGCAGGGCTGGGCGCTGGGGCCCCAGGGAGCAGCTGGTCCAGGTGGGGATGTGGCCGGGGAGCCCTGCAGTGGCGCTGGGGGCACCACGCACTTCTACACGCCAGGGCAGACAGGACCCTGGACCCCTCCCCATCCCCCACGCCTGTGGCTGCCGAGTCACCAACAGCTCTGACCCTCAGTGCCTCTGTGTGGGGGTGGGCAAGGGTCACGTGAGGATCATGCGTGTAACCACAGTGTGCCATGATGGGTCCCCGAGACCCTGGGTCTGGTGGGCCGTGGACATGGCACCGGGGTCCCGTGGTGGCTGGCGCGGCGTGGCCAGGCCCCTCCTCTGACCTTTCGTCGCATCCTCGGCGCAGGCTCAGCCTTTTAACGCGAGCGTCAAGACCCTGTTCAGCGTGCTCAACTACGAGCGCATGCGGCGCCCCGGCCTCCTGGGGGCCTCCGTGCTGGGCATGGACGACATCTACAGGGCCTGGCGGGCCTTCGCGCTGCGTGTGCGGGCCCAGGACGCGGCGCCCAGGCTGTACTTCGTCAAGGTGGGCCCCGCCGGGTCTTGTCCGTGCACCAGCCGGGCACTGCAGGCCGGGCCAGGCGAGCCCGTGGTCCCTGCTTAGCCCCGTGTGGGTGGAGGCTGGCGTCACGCGGTGGAGCCGCAGGGGCTCCCGGGGCAGAGGCTGTGACCCGACCCTGTGGCAGATGGCTGCCCCAGCCCTGCACCCCGCTCCTGGGGGCTCCTGCTCCCAGGGGGTGTCCCCCTGGATGCTGGTTCCCCTTCCAGAAGGGGCCGTGCAGCCCGGCCATGCAGCCTGTGCGTCAGGGACGGGGACGCTACTATGGGGGGGTTGCTGGCGGTGCCCAGGGCCCAGGCCTGGGGCGCGGGTGCCGTGGGCCTGTTGAGGCCGCAGCCCTGTGCCAGCGTTCCTCGCGGTGTCACGCAGGTGGACGTGACGGGGGCGTACGACGCCATCCCCCAGGGCAGGCTTGCAGAGGTGGTCGCCAGCGTCATCAGGCCCCAGGAGAACACCTACTGTGTGCGCCGCTACGCCGTGGTCCGGAGGACGGCCCACGGGCACGTCCGCAAGTCCTTCAAGAGACACGTAAGGCTTGCGGTGGCTGTGTGATTCAGGCGTGTCCAGGATGTGTGTGCACCCGTGTCCAGGCGTGTCTGCGGCGTGAGTGTGTGCGGCCGTGGCCTCCCTCCGTGGGCACTAAGTGGAGCTTCCTCTGCTGGGAGGGCCCCCCCGTCACACACGCGTGTGTGGTTTGGTTAGTTGCACATTTGGGGTCCTCTCTTTGGGGGCCGGTGCCCTGTCCCATCACAGGGCTGGGCCTTGGGGACTGCCACCAGGCGTGGGTGGCAGGAGGGACGCGGTGGCAGCTGAGCCTCACATCCTCCAGGGCCTCCTCCAGGAGCCCGTGCCTGGCCTGTGTGTGCCAAGGGGCTGAGCGTGCTGCCCCAGCTCAGAGAGGACGGTGACGGGGCCTGGCCCCCGGGGAACCTCGGGGGGCTGGACGGGGCCCTCGAGTCGGGGTTCCCGACCAGTGGTCGCTAGTGTGCTGGGTTGTGGGGACTCAGCCCCCAGTGCGGTGCTCTGGGGTGGGAGGTGGGGGGTGCCGGCGGAAGGAGCCTCGCGTCTGGGGCGGCTCACGTGAAGACCCCACAGGGCTGTGTTTCTTTGCTGTGTAATGGGGGCAAGGCCTGTGCAAATGTCCTTGCAAATCTTGCGTTCGACTCTCAGAATTTGACACTTGTGGACACCTGTGGCCGCACCTGCGTCCAGGTGCAGCTCACCAGCGCTGGAGACTCCCCGGTGCCCCTGCAAAGCTGCTGCCCCCACGGCGGCCCCGTTCTGACCTCCGTCGCGGCAGACGTGCGCTGCCGTCCCCGCGGTGTAGAATCGGCCGGACAGCGGCTCCGGGTGTCTGAGATGGGGCCGAACCTCGCATCCTCGTGGCAGCTTAAGTCACGTGAACGTGCTGTGTGGACTTACCCTTTGCGCCACGGTGGCCCTGCAGGTGGCTTCTGGGCTTGGACTGTTCTGAGTGACGTTTTGCGGCGTTCTTGTCTGCGGGGGAGCAGGTCTGCCGTGCGTACGGGTGTCCTGAACGCCACCTCCGTCTGTGCCAGTCCTGCTGTTTCGCTCTCGTGTGGAGTCTTCTGATGAATAGACATTTTTAATTTTAACAAAGTCCACTTTATCGGTTGTTTATGCCCCAAACTGAGTTCTCTTTGAGAAATCTGCCTGCCCCCACGGTCGTGACGACGTTCTTCTGCGGTTTCTTCTAGAACGACGTCGCGTGTTTCTGCTTTCACATTTAGGTCCAGGATCCGTTTTGGACTCATTTTTGTGCACGGTCTGAGGTCCAGGTGAACTTTTCCCCCCGGGTGGGTGTGCGGCTGCCCCCACACCTGGTTGGAAAGGCCACGTTTCCCTGAATCGTGAGTGCTCCTGGGGTGGGTCAGGCGAGCGCGGCCCGTCGGGTCCCTCCGTGCCATCCAGATATCGGTCACCTGTGCGTGGCCGGTGCGTGCACGGCTGCCAGGCAGGACTTCCCAGGCCCCGCCGTGCTCCTCGTCCTGGGAACGTCCTGTGAACGACGCCAGACCCGCTGTCTCCCGACTCCGCGAGGTCTGTACCGACGGTCCCTTTTCATGTCTTGACCCCCACGATCTCTGTCGGCTCTTCGTACGGTCAGCTTGGTCGGGGTTTTTCCGTCTGATTAATCTTTTCAAAGAACTAGCTTTTGAGACTGTTAGTTTTCCTCTGCGATTTGTTTTCCATTTAATTGATTTCTGCTGTTTACTTAGTTCCTTGTTTTCTTTAGGTTTAATTCATTGTTTTTCCAGCTCCTTAAGGTGCAAGTTTTGATTATGGATATTTGAACTTTTCTTAAATAATCATTTGAAGTTACAGATTTGTCTCTAAGAACTGCCTCAGTGGTGTCTCACGAATTTTGACGTGTTCTTTATCATTTGGTTCGAAGTATTTTCTGGTTTTTATCGTGACTTTTGTTCACCCGTGGGTGACTTGGTGTGTCGCTTATTGCTTAATTATGGGAAACGCAGGGATGTTCTGCCTGTCGTCCCGTCGCTGCTTTCTAGGTTAGTTCTGACGGCGAGGTCGTGCCGTGTGTGGTTTTAACCCACAGCACCGCAGCTAACTCCGGGGCCCTGGGCACGCGTGAAAATGCAGCGTCGGTGTACGCGCGTCTGGGACGCTCACAAGCGGGAGGTCGTCGTGGTCGGCCTCGGCGCGACTCGGTTCTGGGGGTGAACAGCAGGCGGCTGGGAGAACCTGTGGGTCAGGAGATGAAGGCGCCCGTCTGCCTCCCGCGGCCTCCAGGCCTTTCTGTCTGTGTGTCCTGGCCGCACGTGGATCGCCTCCGGGAGGCCGGGGTGCTTTGCTTGTGCTTGTGCTGCGCCTCGGGGTGGTCTTGGGGAGCTGGTCCGAGGTGGCCGCGGCGCGGGCCTGCGGTCCTTGCAGCCCCTGTCCCGCGCCTCTCCCCGTTTCCCCAGGCTCTGCTCTGCCTCAGCATCCACGTTAGAGGAACCACGTGCCCAGCTCGTGGCAGGGATGACGGTGGTGTTCGCCTGCTCACACCTCCTCCTCTGCTGCCAGGTCTCCACCTTCGAGGACCTCCAGCCGTACATGCGACAGTTCGTGGAGCACCTGCAGGAGACAAGCTCGCTGAGGGACGCCGTGGTCATTGAGCAGGTCCCTGGGGCTGCCTCGTGGGGGTCGGGCCACGCTTCCTAGTGATGGGTCCACGCATGGCGGAGGGTCACGTGGCTCATCGCTGACGGGCTGTTCTGTTGGGGGAGGGGAGGAACGGGTGAGGGGGTGACCGTCGTTCCTTGGAGGAATCCCTGCCACGTCCCGCGCTCAGCCACGCCAGGCCAGGCCGCTGCTGCATGTGGCCACGTCTCCCTCTTTTCACCGCCTCGCCCGGCCCCCTCCTGCTCTCCGCTCGCCTGTCAGCGAGTCACCCTTCAGCGCGGTCGGGGCTGGGGGCAGATGCGTCACCTTTAGGAGGACAAGTTGCATTTGACCTGTAGACCCGTTGACCCGCCCCTTGAGGATAAAAGTCACTCACCTTCCAAGCAGAGACCGTTTCCCCGAGTCTGGGCGTCCGCGGCCCTCTGCTCAGGCGCCTCTGTGGCTCTCGCAGGGTCCTCGTGCGTATTCCGGTCTTGGGGGATAACCGTGTCCGCAAGTGATGCGCTGAGGCCTCCAGACGGACTTCCCGAGGGTGCCGGCGTGGGCTGCAGGGACCCGTGCGGGGTGCCGGGTGGGCCCGTTGTGTGAGGCGCGTGCCATCCGGGCCGAGGACGTCTGGCCCGGCCAGATGCACAGAGGGCCCAGAGGACGTTGGGCGTTGAGAAACTGTCCCACCGCCTGTGGGTCTGTGGGCAGACACCTGGCCCCCACTTCCCCCCAAAAGCAAACCCCACAGGGGACGCGGCCACTGCTCCCGCCGCGTGCTAGGCCGTCCACGTCCCGAGTCTCTTGTCTGCGTTCCCAGAGCTCCTCCCTGAACGAGGCCGGCCGCAGCCTTTTCGACTTCTTCCTGCTCTTTGTGCGCAGCAACGTCGTCAGGGTCGGGGGCAGGTGAGTCGGGGCTCAGCAGGTGGCTCCCAGCCAGACCAGGGGTCCGTCGGCATGGAAACGGGAGCGGGCGCTGACTCTCGGGGTCGGGCGTGTGTGTGGTCGCATGTCTGGGCCATTGGTCTGTGAGCGCCATGTGCTGCCGCTGCCACCCAACACCTGGTCTTGCAGACGAGAGGGCATCTCACCCGGTGTCTGTTCCCGCCTCTGTCACGTGACCTCTGGCAGGTGTGGGCGCCGCCCGTGGCACAGGGGCACAGATCGCCCGAGTGGGTGTGAAGTGCCAACCTCGCGCTTTGTCCTCGCTCGTGCCTGTGCTGGGAGCCGCCTCCCGCGCCGTGTCGCGTCCTCCGGCGTGAGTGCCTGCAGATCTCTCTGAAATCAGTGCAGCGACACCAAATGCTTCTGGGCGAGCGTCTGCGCACGGAGCCCGGCCCGGGTCTGGGGAGACGGTGCCGGGAGGAGCCGGGCTCACACGCGAGGCCGTCAGGTCGGCTGTGGATGTGGGAGCCTCTTTCTGGAATTCCCAGCAGGTGCAGACAGCTGTGTGCTCAGCTTTGGAAATTTTCATTAAAAAAAGTAACTTTACCAATTATGTTATAAGTAGCCACTAACATTTTATTATAGTAATATTGAAACATAATTAGAAATATGGAGAAATAGATACATCCTGGAAAAGCACAAATCGCAAGTGCGCAGCAGAGTCAGCTTTGACAGGAACACGCCTGTGCACGCGTGTGAACAGCACCTGGGTCGAGAGGGGACAGCAGAGTCAGCTTTGACGGGAACACGCCTGTGCACATGTGTGAACAGCACCCGGGTCGAGAGGGGACAACAGAGTCAGCTTTGACGGGAACACACCTGTGCACGCGTGTGAATAGCACCCGGGTCCAGAGGAGACAGCAGAGTCAACTTTGACGGGAACACGCCTATGCACGCGTGTGAACAGCACCTGGGTTGAGAGGGGACAACAGAGTCAGCTTTGACGGGAACACGCCTGTGCACGCGTGTGAACAGCACCCGGGTCCAGAGGAGACAGCAGAGTCAGCTTTGACGGGAACACGCCTATGCACGCATGTGAACAGCACCTGGGTCGAGAGGGGACAACAGTCAGCTTTGACGGGAACACGCAGCACCCGGGTCCAGAGGAGACAGCAGAGTCAGCTTTGACGGGAACACGCCTGTGCACGTGTGTGAACAGGGTCGAGAGGGGACTTTGCAGAAGCCACCGACGAAGTCTCCCCCCCAGAGAAGCCACCACACTTCTTTGCCCAGTTGTGGATTTCATGAAGGGGATCATGTTGCGTGTTAGCGGCCGTGTGTTCAGGCTTCCGCCTTCACCGGGGTGGCGACGGTGTCGCGGCACCTGGACGTGTGGGAGGCCTGTCCCCCTGGCCCTGGGACGTGGACAGGCCTCACGCGCGAGTCCCACCGCGGCCCAGTTCGGCCTCTGGATAAAAAAGCATCTTCGACACTTGTGTGGTTCCAAAAGTTGAGAGCGAGTCGAGTCTCCGCGTCTCGACCTGAGCGGACTCACGGGACCGTGTGGGCTCCGCGTGACTCCCCAGCCCGACGGCTGGAGTTGGTGCGTTTGTTGACCACGCCCTCCCACCCAGATGCGACGTTCACGCTGGAAAGTGGCATGTGTGCCCTGCCTCCAGAGTGACGTCACTGGCCTCTCGGGAGCAGGCGAGCTCCGTCCCACCCACGGAGGGGAGTCCTGAGCGCCCTGGGCCTGGCCGGAGGCCGCGCCTTCTGCTCCCGCCTGTGTGGGACAGGGAGGTCTTCTGCTCTCACTTTGGTTTCCACGTGTTGTCGGTCATCGCTGACCCGAGGAAAAGGCGCTGACTTGTGCGCGCAGCCAGTGTGCGTGGGGCGACCAGTCTTCCAGTTACTTTGAAATAAACTTCCCTGTCAGTTCGAGTGTCTGGTTGTTTAAATAAACTTCTTGGTTAATAGAAAATTAATCAGAGGACAGGCCGTAGCCACACTTAGAACTTTGTCAGCTTTAAACCGTCCTCCGTCGTGGTGACGGCGTGGAGAGCGGGGGAGGATGGTGGTTAACTTGGGCATAGTCGGGTCTTGGCAAGCTGACCGGCACACTCGGGCGTTCATGTGTGCGTGCGTGTCTGAGTGTGCGTGTGTGAGCGTGATGCCGGCCCCTGCGTGCCCCTAACCGCGTCCTGCCCGCAGGTGCTACGTGCAGTGCCAGGGCATCCCGCAGGGCTCCGTGCTGTCCACGCTGCTCTGCAGCCTGTGCTACGGGGACATGGAGAAGAGGCTGTTCCCCGGGATTCAGCGGGACGGGTGAGGCCGGCTCTTCGCGTCTCCGCGGGTTCTGTCGCGTGGTGTCGGTTTGCTTTCCACTCATCTGGTGTTTCCGGGACACCAGATGTTCCAGTCGTTTCGTCTCAAAGAACCACGCAGGGTCGAATGCCTGCTTCACGCGGCAGCCCCGGTGGGACTACGTGCTCGGCTTGTGGCTGGGCGGGGACTGCGCCAAGACCTCACGGCAGCTCGGCGAGGGGGAGGGGCCGCGCTGCGGCACAGACGTTGAACGAAGCGCTGAAGGGTGCCCCCCCGTTCCTTCTTGTCCACCGGGGACCCCTCTGGGGCCCTCAGAAAAATGGCTGCGCAGGTGGAGGCCCCGTGTCGCCCCGAGACCCCTCGCCGGCGCTCTGGGACTCGCCCACAGGTCGGCCCTGGGGGACGGGTTCCGGGCCCCGGCCTCGGGCTCGGGGGTCTTGCTGGGGCTGTACCCGGTGGGGCTGAGGTCCCGGCTGTCCCGGGAAAGGGACCGCGCAGGTCAGCAGAGCGCAGGCCCCGCACATGCTTGCAGATAACGCGCTGCTTTACCGTCAGACGCGGAGAGGGCATTTCTCTTAGACAGAAATTTATGTGCTTTAACTGATTTAGAAAATTAGTCTTGCTGGTGAAAATGCAAATATCTAACCATCCGGGACGTTCCGTCCCTCGCGGATGTTCGGCGGAAAGGGAAAGTGAGGCCCGTGCCTGTGTCTCCTGCCTGCAGGCTGCTCCTGCGCTTGGTCGACGATTTCCTGCTGGTCACGCCTCACCTGGCGCACGCGAAAGCCTTCCTCAGGTGAGGTCCGCACCGCGCGCGTCCCGCGGGTGCCTCGGTGGCCTGCGTGCGATGACGCGTCCGTGGCTGACCAGTTGCCCTCTGCACCAAGAGCCCGTGTGCTGCCACCCCACACAGGGTTGCCGCGGTGCCCGCGCCGTCCTGCATCCTCTCCGTGGGTGCTGACCCGCAAGAGCAGGCGTCCGACCGCGCAGACAGGTGGGGCGGCGGCCTTCAGGACAGAGGGAGGCAGCCGGGAGTCCCCTCCCCGGAGACCCTCACAAGACACGTGCTCACGGAATGCGCTGGCGGCGAGTGGCCCCTGCCACGTGGCCGCGGGTGGGTGACGGCACCTGTGCCCTGAGCAAGGCCCCCGGGGCTGTGCGGCAGCCCGAGACCACCGCCGTCCTGGGCGGCGCACTCCTGTCCCTGATGGGCCGCGAGGTCGCTGGTCGCAGCTTCTGCCGCAGTCGCTCTTTGCGGGGCGTCGGGGAGAGGCTGGAGAATTCGGACTTGCTGGATGATGGCGATTCAAGGCCCGGGGGCTGGTCTGAAAGTTGGCTTTTGCGGCTCTGACTAAAATCAGGCCCCGGGTCCTCAGAGCACCGGCCGGTGGGATCTGTGCCTCCCACGGCCCTCGGAGCCTGTGGGCTCGTGTTAAAAAGTGCGATGTTTCCGCGGCGGAGAAATGTTGAAATTTATAACTGAACTCTCAAAAAAAAGGCCGCCCCCTCGAGAGGTGGTTTCCGGTGGTTTGCTTGGCCGCGGGGCTGTGTGGGGTGCAGACTGCCTGGACACCCCGCCGGGGCCGGCGCGAGACCCCACCCTCCTTGGGGGCCATGCCGCCTAGTGCATGGGTCTTGAGCATGGCGGGCCATGTGGGTGTAAATTCATTAAAATTCCGTCAGGGCTAACCCAGGTCCCCAGCACTGGCCACGTCTGAAGCGCTCAGGAGTCACGTGTGGCCAGTGGAGGGAACAGAGTGACGCATTGCTGCTTCCTTGTGGAAAGTTCTGGAAGTGGCTCTGCTGGGAGGGCATTGGTCAGGTGGGCGCTGGGGGCAGGACAGCAGATGTGCGTGTTTGGACTGGAAGAGGCTCGCTGCGGGGAACGGCCGGCGTGGCAGTGGGGTGGATCCAGCCTGGAATCCGGGGCGGGGCCGCGGGAAGGCAGGTGGACGCCTCCATCCACAGGGGAGATTCCCCCTCTGGGCAGGCTCAGGTGCCCCCCAGCTGGCGGGTGGGGCCGCCACACGAGGAGGACGACCTCTCCCACGTGCCGCTGGCGGGCGCAGGCACAGACCCCTCTGCGGCGTCTGCGGCGCAGGGCAAGGCACCCTCGGGAAGAAGTCGAGCAGGATGATCATGAAGCGTCCCGAGAAAGGGGGTGATAAGGTGGGATTTGGGGTCCAGATCTATTCAACCACAAGCCACGTGGACACAGGGCTGACGGTCACAGGGCCACCTGGGCTCCCCGGCCCTTCGGGGTCCCGCTGCCCGGGCTCCCACCCCCTCCTGTCTCTCCCGTGGGACGGGATAGGCATCCACAGGTCCGGCAGGGCCGTGTCTCTGCTCCCCAGGCCACCTTCCTGGGGTTTAGGGGCACTTAGGTGGGCACCAGAGCCCCTCGTCGCAGGCTGACGCTGCCTCTCTGCCGCAGGACCCTGGTCAGAGGTGTCCCTGAGTACGGCTGCGTGGTGAACTTGGAGAAGACGGTGGTGAACTTCCCCGTGGACGATGCTGCCCTGGGTGGCGCGGCCTTCGTCCAGCTGCCAGCCCACTGCCTGTTTCCCTGGTGCGGCTTGCTGCTGGACACCCGGACCCTGGAGGTGTTCAGCGACTACTCCAGGTGGGTGCACCCGGCAGGGGAGGAGCCTTCTCGGCAGACGGTGCTGCGTGTTGGCCCGTCCCGTTCCTGCTTCGGTGGGGGCAGGCAACCACTGACCCCAAAGAGTCAGGCCACAGGCCGCCTCCTCTTCCCTCAGGGGCAGAAACAGGAGTGAGGGACCCACAGGTGAGCGGCGTCTGTGCTGTTTTGGTGAGAGGAGGCCGTGGGGCGGCTCGAGCGTAGCGTGTGCTCAGGACAGCCTGGATCTGCAGCCGGAGACATCGGCCCCTTTGACTCGTGTCTCTTTCCTGGGAGGGCGCGTGCCACGACACTCACGGCCTCTCTGGGGTCAAGGGTCCCTGGTCTTGGCCGGCCCCTCGCGGAGCCCGGGCCGTATGTGTGCAGGTCTCCGCACGGGGTGCCGGGGCCCCGTTTCTCCAGAGCCCGCGAGCTCACAGCCCAGCCGCGGCTCGGCGCAAACACAGACAGAGTCAGGACGGCAGGTGCGGATGTCCTTCCTGTTCCCTTTATGAATAAAGAGTATGAAAATTCTAAAGTAGCGGGGGAAGGTGGTGTTTCCTGTTCCTGACATCGGTGATTCCAGCTGCTGTGACTTGGATGGCTCAGATCTGGACTTCGTTCTTGGGAGTTCGCTTTGCGAGGGGAGAGGCAGGTGTGGACGCTGTCCGTGCAGGTGCCTGGCGTGCCCCCCACAGCTGCCTCTGCTGCCGCCGACCTCCACCCTGGCCGGCTCCTCCCGGGCCCGCCCCCGCCCCCGTCTCCGACGTTGGGTGATTTCCAGGTTTCCGGCTCCCCTTGCCTCCCGGCTCCTGCCCTCCCCCGGCCCCTCCCTAGCACCGAGCCCACCAGGTGGCCGTGAACCGTCCACCCGCCGTGCCGCCCCCCACGCAGCCGTGGCCTTGCCGAGGGCGGGCACCCCATGTCAACCTCCAGCGCAGAGCGGTGAATGTCACCGAGCGACGGACTCTGCACAGAGTGTCTGCGCCGGGCGGGAGCGGCACAGCATGGGGAGTCAGGAACCACTCGTGTGGCCTGACGCTGGTACACCCCAGAGGCTACTCGGTCAGAGGCGGCTGCTGGCGGCGGCTCCGGCAGCTCAGCTACGGGCAGTGGGACAAAATCTCTGGGGGACTCCAGAACCTGCCTCTGCGTCTGACGCACACAGCAGACAACTCTAAGGGCAAGTAGGGGAAGAAAACAGGCAAAATGATCAAGAAATGTCTAAAAAGGAAGAGTAACACGGTGGGACGTTCCTGTCTAGATCTCAGTCTGCCCCAAACCACAGCCCAGGTGGTAGAACGCGGTGGGAATGGACCAGCAGCCACCGAACCCAACGGAAGGCCCCGTCTCTCCGAGGTGTTTACTCATTTGGTGTGTGGTGTAGCCGACGGAGAAGAGATTGATTTTTTCCTGAGAAAACTGACTAGAAGAAAAAAAGTAGCGTCTTTACCTCACAGCAGACACCGAACACATGCTAGGCAGGAAAGGAGTTAGCGGCAGTGATGTCAGAAACAGCAAAACAACCTTGGAGAAGACGGAGGTGACGCGCGCAGACTTGGGGCGAGGACGGACGGCAGGCGGAGCGCGTCGGCAAAGAGACGGAGACTGGTCTCGACTGCATGAAACTTGGAACTTCCCCGGGCCGGAGCGACGGTCGTCCCTGCCTCTGAGCGTGTGCGTGCGGTGGCTTACTGCGCCCTGCTGGGTGCCGCGCATCCGTTCTCAGCGCCGTGAGAGGCAGGGGACGAAACGGCTCCGGGATGACGTGGAAGTGGCTCCCCTCGGGCACCCAGCTGGCTCCGGGCACAGCGGGATTTGAACCCGGGCTCCTGGCTCTGGGACCCTCGCCGTGCCCACGGGTCTCTGCGCGGGTCGGACTCGCAGGCTCGGGGCAGGCCGGGGCCCCAGCGCGCGTGGAAGCAGCCGTGAGTGGACGACTACAGCCCGAGAAGCACGTTTGGGAAGGTGTCCGTCACCAGCCGTCAAAGGAACGGGGGTCGGGGCGGCCATTGGGAGGGCTTCTCTGGAAAGCAGCTTGTCTCTGAAGTCTCACAAGCTGCCTGTGTTTTCCTGGTAATCCCCCTTCTGGAAGTCTCTGCTGAAGAAATGACCAGAGACACCATCAGAGACGCTATTTGACCGTGTTCCGGTGCTCAGGGCGGCGTGTCCTGTGCAGCACCTGACGGTGGCCAAGCGGATGTTCGGCATCGAAGAAGAAAGCTCGTTCCGCCATTAAAGTCGTGTTCTCTGAGAACGGCTGACGACCTGCGAAACGTACTTCGCCCTGAGCGTGCTGAGAGGCTGGCTGTGAGAACGTGCGTCCGGGTGTGGGCCTCTCGTACCACCTGCGTGCGCCGGGGCACGCGGGCGCTGCAGGGCGGGGCGGGGCAGCCAGGCTGGGGGCTCCCCCTCAGCTTCCTGGGGCTCCCACGTGTCCCGCCGCGGGACTGCACATCAGCCTCGGCGAGGACGCCGTGTGCGGTGCAGGCGCTGTGTTTAGCCAGAGCCGCCTGGGCCTCCACCCATCCGGGATCCACGCGCCGATTCTCTGTGCTCCACTCGCAAACAGCTCGGGGAAGGCACCGGGCCGGGCGCCGTCTGCTCCAGGGAGGCTCGGGGCTGGTGGCTTTGCGGTTTGATGGCGGTCGAGGCTTCAGGCTGGCTCCTGTGCAGACCTTACGAGGGCAGGTGGTGAATGAACACGGACGGTGACCATGTCTTGGTACCGTGTAGCTGCGCAGCAGTCTAGCCGTGCCCTGTGCGCACACAGAGCCCCAGAGGCGTGTTGTGTTTGCTGAGTGAGCTTCTTGCACCCCTGTGCCCGGCTGCACATGCCTCAAGTGGTGGGAGGGTGTCAGGCGGGGGAGGCTGTGGAGCTGGTAGGGGCGGGGACGGGTACACAGTGTGACGCCCCCTTGTGTCTCAGCTTCGCCCGGACGTCCGTCAGAGCCAGTCTCACCTTCAGCCCTGGCTTCAAGGCCGGCAGGAACATGCGTCGCAAACTCTTCGGGGTCTTGCGGCTGAAGTGCCACGGTCTTTTTCTGGACTTGCAGGTGAGCAGGCCCGCGGTGGCCGGCACAGGTTCAGAGTTCGGGAGGCGCTCGGAACATCCAAGTCGGCCTGTGGGGTCCGAGTCCCGTTATCGTGTGTGTGCGTGTGCATGTGCGGGTGAGTGCGTAGGTGTCCACGCGGGTGCACATACACATGCAAGCGTGTACATGTCTGAGTGCACATGCCCACATGTGTGTCGTGCCTACGTGTGTGCAGGTGCATGAGTGTGTACGTGTGCACAAGTGCACGTGTGTGGGGCTATGTGTATGTGTGAATGCACCCCTGACCACGGGCATGCATGTGTGCTCCCGTGTGCATGAGTGAACAGGTGTGTGCGTGTGCGTGCATGCATGATAGGTATGTCCGTGCATGTGGGCGCGCACGTCTACTCACGTGTATCGAGGGCCCCTCACGTTCACCGCACTCAGTCCCCACCCGCCCTCCTCTGCCTGGCACCTTCCTCGCAGGGTGGGGCCCCGGGCCTGGCGACTCAGACTCCAAGCTGCGTCCCTGTGGGGTGGGCCGGGCCCGGGGACACTTGCCTCGCTCCCTCCTGCCCGAGGGCCTGGCTGCATCTCCCTGGGGCCAAGCGTCAGTTTCTCACCAAACTGCCCCATCTTGCTCCATTCGCCTGGGTGATGGAGCAAAAAGTGAAAGTTTAAAATTCCTGAGGTTCTGACCTTCCTCCTTCTCCCTCGGTGCCCCAGGTGAACAGTCTCCGGACGGTTTGCATAAACGTCTACAAGATCTTCCTGCTGCAGGCCTACAGGTGAGCCGCCGCCAGAGGGAGGCCCAGGGCCGGAATCGCCCGCGCGGCCTTTGATCTCCTTGTGTCTGGGGCTCCGCGCCGAAGCTCTCGGGTTTGAGAAGAACGCGGCACCTGCTCGTGTTTTCTTTGCACAGTTCTGCGTTCTCGTCGATGTGGGGAGCCCCCGCTTCTGTCCCCAGGCAGGGGTGGCAGCAGAGGTGGTCCCCGCGTCCCCGTGTGCTGAGCCCGGGACCTGTGGGCCCGTCCTGGGGCGGGGGGTGGGCCATCAGGAGATGCCGTGGGTGAGTCTCAGGGAGGCTTCCTGCGCTGCAGGGAGAGCGGCGCTGTGGCGGGGTTTGGGGTCCCCCCCTCAGAGGGCGAGGCGATCACCGGGTGAGCGGTGCCGGCTCCCGCCCAGCAAGGTGCGGCAGGGCTGTGCCATTCTCTTTGCTCGGGCCTGACAGTGCTTCCGGAACGTTCCCTGCCCTTGGATGGTCCCGAGGCCACCCTGCCGAGAATCAGGGGCGAGGTGCGGGTGGTCACCGTGTGGGGTCTGTGCAGAGTTTGCGCTTTCCCAGCCTTTGACGGGAGTGTTGCCACCTTGGGTTGCACCTGTCCCCTGGGAAGCCGGGCACTGTTGTTCATTAACCTCCCACTTCACCCGGCCGCAGGGACACGGGGACTTTGCTCTCGGTGGTTCCAGCGGAGACATGCCCTGTGTGGCTCAGGGACGGAGCTGACTCGCTGACGGCTCTGTCCTGGAACGAGGGGCTGGTCTGCGGAGGCCGCGTTGGGGCCAGCGTCTGCCTTCGGTCGGGGCAGGTGGGGGCGGGAGCCTCTAGGCTGGATGAGGGGCTGTGGCCTCCGCAGACCCAGCCTCCCGTGCCGTGGCCTCCCACGTGAGAGGAAGGGAGCCGAGTGGCAGCAGAAGAAGCCTTCGCCAGCAGACGAGGAGCAGTGCGGGCGTGGGGTTGCCGGGCCGCGGCGCGAGGCTGGCTGTCCACACCGCTGCCCAGAGTCCTCGTCGGCCGGCTGAGTCCGGGCTCCCGGGGAGGTTCCCCCTGCAGTGCCGATCCCAGAGCGCCGGCGCCTCCGTACGCGAGCAGGGGCTGCGGCACAGCCCCGCAGTGTGGCCGCTGTGTCTGGGTTCTGGCGGGCTGGTCTTGGCCGGGCTTGGGCGGCTTGGGCGGCTAGCTTGCTCGTCCTGTGTCTGCCTCTCCCCGCGGGCACAGCCGGGGGGCGGAGGCAGCCGTGACAAAGTGACTTTGCGCCCAGGGCCCAGCTGGCCGGGGCTTCCTGCGTGATGAGCTCAGGCCGACGATGTGCCCAGGTGCAGGCTGGGAGCCCTTTGAGGTCCCGGTGGCCACGAGTCACCCACTGCTGCTCCCGTGTCCAGCTCGGCCTCACCCGCATTTCCCCGGGCCCCTCGCGCCCAGCCCCCGTGGAGGGCGTGGCTTCAGGGAGGGCGGCCTATCTGCCCTGGCCTCGTAGCCCCTTGGTTAGGGCCGGCGCGCGGCCCCAGGACGACAGACAGGACGGCCGCAGCCTGCCCCGTCCCGGATGCCAGCTACTTCCGAGTGTGGGAGCGTCAGGCCCGGGGGAGGCCCAAGAGCCCCGCTGCCTTGGAGGCCGGAGTGGAGGGTGGACGCTGACCCTGACTGCAAGGCAGCCGAGGTGCGGCAGGCAAGGCTGTGCTTGTCCACGTGGCGCCTGGGCACGGTCCGACTGGGCCCCCCAGACCATTAGCAAGCAGCAGTGTTTCCCATTCGAGCGGTCTTCCTTCGACACAAGGCTTTTCCCTCCTGGGTCAGTAGCGTGGCCTCAAGCCCTGACCCCGGGACCTTGGCCATGTTATACGTCTTTCAAAAATATCTGTAGGCCCGAATTTTGTCATCGGTAAGCGGGAAGACACGTCCACCTACACAGAAATGTCATGGGCAGAAGCCAGATCACAGCCTTGGTGCACATGCTCTCCCCGTGCTCCATGGCCAGTGAGGCCGATGCACGAGGCACCTGGGGAGAGCTTATCATATGGTCGCACGCACACACAACACGCGTGCACATGCACGCACGCAGACATGCTCAGGCACGTTTATATATAAGCACGTTTATATATAAGCATGCACACACATCCGTACACAGTACACACATGCCTGCACACGCAGATGCACACACGCACGCACCTCTACACGGGCATGCACGCGCACACACGCGTGAGCCCGTTCCAATCGGAAGGCCTCTCCTGCCCCTCAGGTTCCACGCTTGTGTGCTGCAGCTTCCGTTTAACCAGCAAGTTCGGAAGAATCCCACGTTTTTCCTGCGCATCATCTCGGACACGGCCTCCCGCTGCCACTCCATCCTGAGAGCCAAGAACGCAGGTACGGGCAGTGGGCGCGGACGTGAGGGTCGGTGAGGGCTCTGCCAGGGCCCAGGGTGCCTGGGAGCACGCGTGGCGGCGCCTGTGTGGCTGCTTCCGTCCGCTCCAGCAGGGGCTCCTGGCACGGACCTGCCGCACGCCCCGTCCGCACTGCGGAGCAGACCCGCTTCCTGCCTCACAGGCCGCAGGAGCCGCGGGAGTCGGGCTTAGAATTCTCACCCTTTGCCACGTCCGGTGGCAGCTTAACTGCTAACCGCTGGCCCTCGCGGTGTGGGTGGACCGTCCCACAGCACTGGCCGTCTGTCCGTCCCCTTCGCACTCTGAACCGCAGCGGGGCCACCTCGCGGGGCCTCCTGCTGTTTGTCCCCGGCAGGGGTTGTGTGTCCGCTCCGTGGTGCTCTGAGGCCTCGGCTCAAACCCAGGCCTGGGGCCGGGAGCCGCCGGCCCTTCTCTGCTGTGGGTCACTGTCCTCTGGCTCCGGTCGCTGTCCTCCTCCGTGTCGTGATAGTTCCCGTCAGTCTGAGATTCAGGCCGGGCCGCGTCTCCATGGTCCTGAGTGCAACCTTTTCCTTTTTGTTTAGTTATTTCCGTTTTGTGGGAATTCCCCTTGGGGGAGCCGCAGCGACTGCCTCGCTTGCCGGAATCCCGTGGCGCTGTGCCGGGGCAGCCCCCAGAGGGAGTCGCCCCGTCCCCGGGCCAGGCTGTCGGGGACGTCGGCAGCACAGAGGCGTCTCCCTGGAGAACGGGGCTCGGGCTGGGCGGGGTCCTCAGCCTGCGTTTGCCCCCCAGGGACATTGCTGGGGGCCAAGGGTGCCTCCGGCCCCCTCCCCTGCGAGGCCGTGCAGTGGCTCTGCCAGCGCGCCTTCCTGCGCAAGCTGGCTCGGCACCGTGTCACCTACAGGTGTCTCCTGGGGACGCTCAGGACAGGTAAGGTGGGCGGAGGCGTGTGCAGCCCCGCGGCAGCTGCAGGGGACCTGGCGCGGGTGTCCCGAGGGACGGCTCCCGCTCCTTGCCTGGCAAGGCTCTCACCTGCCAACTCCACAGCTCCCGTCTCGGGGCAACGCCTCCCCACTCTTGACCCTTGACTCTCGACCCTTGACCTGCGCACTCGCACAGGGCCCGCAGCTCCTCAAGTCTGTCCCGAGTGCCCCCGAGCCTGCCCCCACTGCCACCCAACCTGGAGGGGTCTCTGCGCCTTCACTGGGGCTCCCCTGCCTGGGCCGCGTGGGGCGCAGACCGCCTGCCCGGTCGCCTGCCCGGAGCGGAGTCTGATCTCGGTCTCTCTCCCGCAGCCCAGGCACGAGTGCAGCGGAAACTCCCCAGGGCGACGCTGGCCACCCTGGAGGCCGCGGCCGACCCAGCTTTGACCACGGACTTCAAGACCATCTTGGACTGACGGCGGCCATGCCTGCCACTGGGAGGAGGGGACGGCACCAGCAGCTGCCATGCCCAGCTCTGCGTCCAGGGGGGCTGCCCACGCCCCGCGGGCGCCCCTGGGAGGGGCTGGGGGACTCGTCCTGACGTGCTCCTTCCTGTGGGGGCTGTGGCCCTGCTGGTGTCCTCGGAGGAGCAGGGGCTGCCCGCTGAGACCCGCCAGC